GTATTATTTGGTTTATTTTTGTTTGAAATATTTTTTAAAGGAGCGGATATAAGATTTATTTCTTCTGCTGCTGCCTTTCATTTTTTATTTGTGTTGTTTTATTGTATGAAATGTTTTGTTTATGTTTTTAATGAAACGAGTAAATGAATAAATAAAAAGGACAAACAACTTCATGCAGCTATAACCATTTGGTGAGAGTCAGCACTCTGGGAGCTCTAAAACCTTCAGAACTAATCCACCTCTGGAAAACTTTACAGTTCAGTCCAAAAAAATCATAAAAAAGGTACACAGCAAACATGAGTGTCAGAGAACATGACTGAGCTCACCTGAACAGATGAAATACACAGTGGAGAGAGAATTACTTGATGATCCACAGTCTCTGATAGCAGAACCAGACTGAACACAGTCTGACCTGATCCTCCGCACAGGTGTATGAAGACTCCTCTCTCTCTGACAGAAACAGCAGAGCCACAATCCAGATGTTCACAGACAACAGCTGCTGTTTTCAGGGTCCAGCCAGAGCCATTCACTGGTCTCCATTCAGCCAGATGTTTAAGGTACAGTTTACCTTCACAGAAATTGGCTCCTCCCAATAACCTGACATGTTCTGAGCAGTAATCAGAGTTGTAAAAAGAACAACTTAAGTTGGATCAGAACAGAAATGAAGCAAATCAAAGCTGCAGCTCCTGTTTTACCTGAGCAGGTTAGACCCACAGCTTTGCCAGATGAGCAGGTGTTTCTAGCTGAGCCTGAGCTTCTACAGTCCAGGAGAGTAGATTCATGGCCTTCACACTGGAACTCTTTGGTCCACTTTGGAGCTTCTACTCCTCCATAGAGTACCCCCTGCAGGACTGAAGGAGGTCCACAGCCCAGCTCCCTACAGACCACKTCTGCATCCTGCAGGTCAAAGTCAGCTTCACACACTGAAGACCAGGACTGGGAGGACCTCACCTCCAGTCTGCCTGAACACAGTCTGGTCCCATTCCTCAGCCTGACAGAGTCTGCACACATCACACAAGATCACAGACAGAGAAATAAGAAAGATGCAGCAGTTAATTGAGAGACAGGAAGCACAGGTTTATTTAGTTACTGCAGTTTGTTTTTTAAACTCTCAATGGGGTAAAGTGTTGGAACTGAACAGCAGCAGCTCTAGGAACATGATTTCCTCTTTGATATTTACCAGATCATCAATTTCAGTGATCAACCACTTATATGTACAATCCACAATAAGGGGATTCAAACAACAGAGATGACTTTACCGGACCTTCAGCTTTGACTTCTGACCCCAAAAGGATTTCAGACCTTCATTGGGCGAAGAACAGTTATGTTAACATTGACTGAAATCAATAGCTCCACACAGGAGATACAGTGTGATGGACAAAATTTCACACCCACTAACAGACTGACAARCAAATGCCTCCGAGGCGGAAACATAAAAAACTGAAGTAACTTACTTTAGCAATCTTCTTTGTAGTTCAATATTTTTTAAATAAACTGAAAAGCTGTTGTTCTGCTTCATCGTCAATATTCTCTCAGTAATAAATCTGTTTGTTGATGTTTAATCCTGCCAGTTTATCACTTCTGAGCCACAGAAATCTGGAGTTAGTTTCCAAATGTAGCTTCTGATTCAGGAAATAGCTAAAGTGCGATTCTAACTCACTTTGAGCATATTTTATCTGCTGTGGTTTACAAAACRAAAATACTTTGATACATCATACCTGTACTGGATTATTCTACACTGTTTGTAAAATATTCACGCTTATGTGAGGATTGGTGCGGTTGTGGCTCTCATGTTCCTGATTGGCTGTCTACCTGATTGGTCTCACATGCAGAGGATTCTGTTTATGAGCTGTGTTGAGA